CTTCTAGCTCGGGAAACGCGTAGGGCCAGTGGAAGTAGTAGCGGCTTCTACTCAAGATGAAGTGGGCATGATACCCTCCTCACTTCATGACAAGGCCGAAGCTAATGACTCCTTAGTCACCCCGCAAACGCATCTAGACCAAACTTTGCTCTGTACGTCAGATGTGTCTGAGGCCTTAGAAGACTTAGAAGGCGAGTGGTCAAACAAGGACCCTCGCGAGTCTTGCGTGGCGCTAAAGAAGGGTCCTAGAGGGGAACATTTCGTGGTGGAAGTGGATGTAGGAGGCCACAAATGTGGAGCCTTCATAGACAACGGATCCACACGAAATTACATAAGTCGCGATTGTTTGGAAAGGCTGCACCTACAAGACCGGGTACGACACCTTAGTAGACCAGTAGCATCTACTCTGGCCAACAAAGAGCGCATGATTGTCACAGACTACATCAAGGACGTAGTCTGTACCTTCTCTTATGGAGGAGGAGAGCTTAACCATAAGATCTCGTTCTTGGTTAGCGACGACTTGCCATTTGAAATGTTGTTAGGCATGTACTACCTCGAAATTGCTAAGCCCTAGTTCGACTGGGATAAGAAGGTGCTTAAGCATAAGTAGCCCGATGGCCGAACTGTCAGATTGACTAAGTTCAAGGCCAACAGTATTGTAGATACCTATGGTTGCTTGTGTGCATCAGCGTTCTATAACTACTACGGGCAAAACCAAGAGGATGGTATGTACCTCGTTTACGTCTCTGAGAAGGGGGAGGCCGTTAAAACACCTCCAGAGATATAACGCGTCGTTGCTAAGTTCCCTGATCTGTTCGAGGAGCCCTCAGGAGTTGTTGATAGGGAAGTCGTCCACGCTATAGAAATCATTCCAGGGAGTAAGACCCCAAAGGGAAGGATCTATAGGATGGCCCCTGCCGAGTTAGATGAACTTCGGAAGCAACTCAAGGAGCTGCCAGAGAAGGGATGGATTCGGCCTAGTACTTCCCCTTACGGATCACCCGTGCTATTTGTACCGAAGAAGGGGGGTACTTTGAGGATGTGCATTGACTATAGAGGCCTCAATGCCATCACAGTGAAAAACGCAGAGCCTCTACCTCGCATAGACAACCTACTGGATAGGGTGCAGGGATGCAAGTACTATACAAAGATAGACTTGAAATCCGAATATCGTCAGATCGCAATAAGACCTGAGGACCAACACAAGACAACTTTTCAGACTCGTTATGGGCTGTATGAGTTGGTAGTGATGCCTTTCGGTCTTTGTAATGCGCCGGGTACATTCCAGCACGCTATGAATCGGATCTTCCATGACCATTTAGATAAGTTTGTCGTAGTCTACTTAGACGACATTCTGATCTTTAGTAAGTCTGCCGAGGAGCACGCTTAGCATGTTGAGACAGTTCTCTCACTCCTACGACAGCACAAGTACAAGGTCAACTTAGAGAAGTGCCAGTTTGGCGGCACTAAGATACTAGGGTCATGAAGTATCCGCGGAGGGAATTAGGCCGGAAGATGCGAAGGTGGCTAGTATTTGAGACTGGCCACGACCTCAGACAGTCACTGAGGTCAGATCATTCTTAGGAATGTGCGGCTACTATAGGAACTTCGTAAAGAACTATTCTACAGTCGCCTCTCCTTTGACTGATCTAACTCGACTTGACACACCGTGGGACTGGAGTGATGAGTGCGAAGGTGCTTTTAAGAGATTGAAGCATGCACTCATGAATCATGAAGTTCTCATGGTTCCCGATCCACAGAAGCCGTTCATAGTGACCACTGACGCAAGCCAATACGGCACTGGCGCAGTGCTGGCTCAGCAGGATGGGAAAAAGTTGAGACCGATTGAGTACATGAGTAAGAAGATGCCATCGAAGAAGTTGGCTAAGTCCACCTACAAAAGGGAACTCTATGCTCTCTACAAGGCACTTGTCCATTGGAGACACTTCCTTTTGGGAAGGTTCTTCTATCTAAGGACTGATCATCAGACCCTCAAATGGATCAAGACTCAACCGGCTCTTTCTGATGCTCTCAAGCGATGGATTGAGGTCATAGACCAATATGACTTCAAGCTTGAGGACATGAAGGGAGAGTATAACAAGGTTGCGGATGCGCTATCCCGTAGAGCAGACTACCTAGGTGCATTTGTTTCTGAATTTGGCGTATCTAATGAAGTAACTCAATCATTGGTGGGAGCCTATCAGGAAGACCCTGTCACGATGGACATCATCCTCAAACTTCAGGCAAAAGACAAGGCCACAGAAAGTGAGTTTGTGATGGTGGATGGGCTAATCTATCTTGATAAGGCCGGAGTAAAGAGATTGGTAGTTCCATCTAGTGAACAGTTGTGTAGTTTATTTTTAGGAGAATGTCATGACGCAACTGGGAACTTTGGCTACGAGAAGACGACTTCTAACTTAGTACAACGATTTTGGTGGCCCAGAATGTTAGATGACGCAAAGAAGTATGTTGAGACCTGTCAGGTCTGTCAGCGGGACAAGCCGCGAACTCAAGCACCGCTTGGGTTATTGAAGCCGTTACCTATTCCTGATGGTCCAGGATTGAGTGTTTCCATGGATTTCATGGACACTCTTGTGACCAGCAAGAGTGGTAAGAGGCACATTTTCGTCATCATTGACCAATTCACCAATACGCTAGACTAATACCAATGCCAGAGACAGCCAGGACAGAATACGTCATCAAGTTGTTCAAGGACAACTGGGTAAGGGACTTTGGTTTACCAAAGACCATCATTAGTGATCGAGACGTCCGATTTACAAGTGAGCTGTGGAAGAAGACTTCGGAACAGATGGGCTGTCAACTTCAAATGACTTCAGGGAATCATCCCGAAGCCAACGGACAAGCCGAACAGATGAATAGAGTTGTACAGCACTTGCTGAGGCATTACATCAAGCCCAGCCAGGATGACTGGGATGAGCAGTTACCTCTCATCGCCAACCTGTACAACAATGCTCTACATAGCAGTACCGGCGTTAGTCCTAACCATCCGCACTTAGGATGGAAGCCTAGATCAGCATTAGACTTCCTCCTACCTGAAAACCGACGTGCTACAACTCGAGGCACACTTGAATACGGTGTGCAATATGAGAAGTTGCTGCAAGAGGCTGTTGAACATATGAAGAAGGCTCAGCAAGCCATGATTGCTTCTGAGAATCAACATCGCAGGCAGTCCACATTTCAGGTAGGGGAACGTGTCTGGGTCAAGGCTAGTGAGTTAGGACAGGAATTCGGAATATCTCGCAAACTAATGCCTCAGAACTTTGGTCCCTGGGAAGTCTTTGATGTAGTGGGAGATGAAATGGATGGTCCTACGTACGTCATTCGTGTCCCTGGTCATCTACGCACTCACCCAGTCTTTCATGCCTCAAAGCTTGCACCTTTCGCTGAGACTGATCAATTCCCTTCCAGGAGATCGATGCTGCCCCCAACCATGGATGGACAAGTGGACATCGACGACATTGTGGATCACAGGGATATGCCTGTTCCACGAGGAAGACCTCCTAAACCCAAGAGCGAGTACCGGATCAGATTCAGGCATCATACGGATCCTTAAGAAGATCGGTGGTTTACCTGGGAGGAACTGATGGAAACAGCTCCTCAGGTGGTGGCAGATTATGAACGGAAGCTAAAAGGGAAGGCACCTGCAAAGTAAGCATCCCAGCGGACTTTCGAAGCTAAGGGGGATGGAATGTGAGGATTGAGCCCTCAAGTAGGGGCCTTGCCATGATGTACATGTTCTGGGCCAAGGCCCCAGCAAGCCTAGTGCCCGCCCTAAGTGAAGGCGGGCCAGCAAATCAACAAGAGCCCTCTGTGCCAACATTTCACGAAGTGGGGTCTATACAGTTGCAGCACGCCAGTTGGTTGGAGTGCAANATACAGTTGCAGCACGCCAGTTGGTTGGAGTGCACCGAGTCTCGGATTTCAGCAAATGCTGAAATGCCCAGGGCCTCTGAGTTAGTTAGGCTCTGGGCACTCGAATGTGAGGCCGACAATGCATGTTGGGTATAGAGGCCGAAAATGCCAAAGGGAAATCGGCCCACTGTCTGTATCTGGCCGCAGGCCATGATGAAAGAGGCGCAACTGCATTGCCTCGGGGCCTAACTGTATCGGGCTGGGTTCAGCGTCTGGGTCCCGGGCACAGGCTGAAGGGAGGCCGCCCACACGCTGCACTGGCATATAGGCAAGCAGGGGGAGTGGGCAGGGATCTTGGCCAATGCTGGCATTGCGGGCACGCTGCGCGGATGCATGTGTGCTGCGCTGAGGTGAAGCAGGCAAGCGCTAGGCGGTAGGGCGCTGCCTGCATGCAAGGCACTGGTGGCCATAGCCGGGCCGCATGAGGGTGCAGTGAGGGTGAAGGGCGAAGGTGGTCTTCGGAGGTGAAGGGCGCTGTGTGGGTAACAAGGGAGAGTGTGGGGAAGAGGACACGTACCTGGTGGAGGTGGAGGTCGGCATTGGTGTTGACATCATCACTCGCTGGTAGTCAAGTCGTGTGGTTGCTTTTCATTGCTGTAGTTGTAGGATAGGCTGTAGAGTAGATAGGGCGCCTGGCGCCATTCACAAGAGAGAGCTACATTTGGGTTATGCTGTTGGTGTTGCCCTGTTGGGCATGGACATTGACTTACGATTCTTCTGTATCATTCTCAATGGGATGGTTACTCGGTTCCATGTGCTATCTGCTTTGGCTTTGAATACTTGGACTTCAGTGTGATTTTGCATTCTGGATTTCTGTGCTTCGTCCATACTCATGTTCCTTGCACTACGCTCTCCATAGGGAATTCAAGATTTGTTATTAAGATTTCTTTTCAAGTACAAAGAATCTGAATCCTTATCTTGAAATTCAAGCTCTCCTTACTTTAGTGAATTTTCGGCAATTCCTACAGATTTCCCAACTACCACCCTTTCTTAACGTATCTTTTCTTTTTTGAATTCAAAATACTTTAGTGGATTCGAACTACTGACACAAAGGATTTTCAGTCCTTTGCTCCAACCAACTGACCTCCTGAATGCCACTTGTGTGCTCTTCCAACTGAGGGAGGCTGCTGGCCTCTCAACATGCATTCTGTTCTTGTATTTTCCTTTTTATTTTGTCTTTAAACCTTTTTCCAAGGCTACCCGTTTGTTTTCAACAAAAGTTTAGTACATGCATGATTACTCTTTATCTTTACTGAAGTAGGTTCCGTAACCTTTACACCATTGTCATATATGAGTACCATGCTGCCTTGACTTGTTCTGTTTTCCCTTCGTCACAGCTTCGTTTGTTGTTTTGTGCCCTTTTCATTCTTAAAACAAGGAAATAATCATCCCTTGTCTCTTCCCCTCCCTGCCCCGTCCCCACCGCCACCAGCCAGCACAGCAGTCAATCAGTCAGTGTTTAACATTGAATTCGTCACTTGTCGGCATATGACAGCCAGACATATTTATTCTCTCCTTTCTCTCCCCTCCCCTGAGGAAAAAAAACTGTATCCATGGACCAACGGGCATGTACTCTAGTCCCTCCTTCAAGAAAAGACAGTAGGTGAAGCTGTTTTCTTCCTTTTCCCATTCATTTCAAGTTTCCAATGCATTATTCAGCCTTTAATGTACTTTCTTAAGTACCGTTCAATTCTTTTGTCTGCATGGCTTTGTCATTGTGTGTGTGTGTGTGTGTGTGTGTGTGTGTGTGTGTGTGTGTGTGTGTGAGAGAGAGAGAGAGAGAGAGCAAATAGTTCGTACACAGACATATGTAGTCTCAGGACCACTGTAGTCATAGCTCACACATTCACTGTTGCTCGAGTACAAGAACATGGCAAATAGTACAGCACTCAGAACGTAATCCACTTGTTTGTTCCTCCTACTATTCTCCAACCCTATGAACCTGTCATGTACTGGAGTAACTGAACCTTTCTCTGCTGTTGTTTTGGAATTGTGGGTGGTTGGCGTTGGGAGGGGTTGGTGGATGGACGAATGGGTGGATGTTGGCTCTGTTTTTTTTTTTTTTTTTTTTTTTTTTTTTTTTTTTTTTTTTTTTTTTTTTTTTTTTTTTTTTTGTTTGTTTGTTTTTTTTGGGTGATGGCAGGAATATGGCCAGGGCAATGGGGCACCCACTACAATTCAACACTGTCGAGTTTTCTATGTATTCGTGCGTTCGGTGACAGATAAAGAACGACAAACCACATCATTCGTCCATCCAATTTATTTCTTTTCCTATCTATCCCTCCATCCGGTGACAAAAAATGCACATCGTCTGTTTATCGGAGTCCATCCAGTTCTGTAACTCTTTTTTTTTTTTTTTTTTTTTTTTCCCCTGTTAAGTCGATCGCAGAGTTGAACTAGAAATACAGGAAAGGTGAAATGTTGCATCATTCGATTCCAGTCCGGTTGGTTCGGCATCAGGAATATCTGTGTGCGGCATGGTTCTATGAAGTTCTATCAATTCCATGAGCCTCTTTCGGTATTTCCTCCAAGGTGGCAAGTCGTTCAGAGGAGGAGAGGGCCTTTTAAACCACCAGTACTTGGCCCAGCTATCGATGCCAAGCCTGAAAACGGGCTGCGCGCCGTTTGGCGTCGACATGCCAGCGCAACAAAAAAAACTTTTGGCTGGTGGCGCCAGCCTTTGAGGCTCGGTACCCCGAGCCTCCGGAAGTTGCGGGTCGTTAACGGCAACGCCCGTGGCCGATGTATGGGCCAATTACTGGTGGTTTAATTCCTCTCTTTCTTCTTTCCAATCTCTTTCTAATGTCTGGCACCTGCCTTCTTTGAACATAAATAAATAAATTAGTAGTTATGCAGATGAGACATGCATGTGGCTGCGGAACTCCATAACGAATAGCATACCTGTCCTTTGGAGCATTTGGATGGCCGTGTCAATCGAGAGAACAGCACCACACATCACTGCACCTGGCCCTTGTATGCAGCACTATGCATCATTGCAAGGGTATGTGGGTCTTCAGTCATTCAGGGTACTGTCAAGTCATTGTGTCCGTCGACCATTTTTCCACTAAAGAGCGGTGTGCCGCCTCAGTTGATTTTGTGTGAAGTTGCACAAATTGAGGGCGGGGCGCCCATCCGTTTGGACAATATAGGTTGGGGAAGCATCGTGGGCCGCATGTCAGGATTGACAACATAATTTTGGGAAGGGTCGCCATTCAAGTTCTTCTGTGAGCTTATCCTTGTTTTTCAGTGTTTCTGTCTTATAGATATCTGTTCCCTGAATCTGTTGACCAATGCCGATTGTTTTAATTACAAGTTGTGCAAGAGGACCATGAACATCAGAACGCTGCTCTCGCCTTCTTCCCCCACCGTGCCATATTTGTTTCTTGGGAGAGGAAGTATAGGAAGAGAAAAGATTTGTGTGTGTGTGTGTGTGTGTGTGTGTGTGTGCGTGTGAGAGAGAGAGAGAGAGAGAGAGAGAGAGAGAGAGAGAGAGAGAGAGAGAGTGTGTGTGTGTGTGTGTGTGT